TTTTAAATTTGTGCCTGCGTTGCTCAAGCCAGCTGGTTTGAACCTCTAGTGTGTAAGTTTGCCCACACTTCCACTTTGGTACCAGCTATGGCTACGGGAGCCCAGGGATCCGATGCACGCTATGGAGGAAGCACTCGCCCTGGAGTGGCACCTCCTGGAGCCGTGCAGAAGTACGCCTAACATGGGATGCAACATTCGTGTTGATCTGTCAACTGGCGTGCCTGAGTACAAGGAATACCTGGAGAGCCTATCCTGGGAACTGCGCCGTGTGCTCCGGACTGCTGGAGGTGACGGCTCAGTTCACTACAGAGATACAGTTGCCGAAAGTGGCCGCGCAGCATCTCAACGGCCATGATTCAGCCAGAGAACGTCCCACTGTATCCAGGGCACCAGAACGTCACGGCGTACTTCCCCTGTGGGGAGATGGCTGTGACGGACCTTCTCGAAGGCCAGTTGGCATTTCTGTCACACATTAAGGCCTACGAGGACAGCCATCTTGGGACTCGTCTACTCCAGAAGAAGTTGGCCTGGAAGTACGAGTTCCTTTTCTGCTGTCTTGGGTGCCTCTCCCAGGAGCATCTGCAGGAAATCGTCGATGACATCGGGGAGATCTCCAATATGTGGAGTCGCCTGAACGGCTTGGCAGTAAGGTCTTCCAGGCTTTGTCTGGCCTGTTGCGACACAACCAGAAACTCCGTCTGGAAGGTAAATGGAGGCCTCCCTGGAGCAGATGGAGGACTCAGATGTACGACCTTTTGGGTGGGCGCCCAGGAAGTTCTTTGCCTTCCTCATGGCCAACTCTAAGGCGTTTTCAGACCTGGGTCGCTGCTGCAGCCTGCAGCTTCGAGCGTTTCCTCGTCAGAGGTTGCTCGTGGGGAGCGGTTGACCTTGCAGCGATGTGAGCAACTCGGGCGCATTTTTCGTGCATCTGAGAACCAGAACTATGAGTCCATTAAGCAGAATGGACTCTCGCTGCGGGCAACGAGGCAGGGCTGGCATCAGGTACGGCAGCAACATCTTCTATATACGCGAAGCTGGATGTCGGCGCGTTCTTCAACCATGGACATGAGCTCTATTTGACGGACAATGGAGTCGTCTTGTCCTACGCTGATGTCGCGCCGATTTACCTGACGTACCACTACCGTCCTCCTCACGAGAAGGATCCTGGTGGCCTCAAGCACGAGCAGAAGCAGCGCGCCGCCGGAGTAAGCTCCTGTTTTGAGGAGGCAATTCCACCTACGGCAGCTGCCTCGTCTTCTGTCAAAGCCGCGGAAGAATCTCCCTCTGGAAAGGTACCCGCAGGCAGCAGGTCCGCCAGAAGGCAATGCCCAAAAGAAGGCAAAGGTAGCTTCGTCCCCACCTGCAGGAAGCTCTCCCTCTGGAGAGGTACCTGTTGTGGACGAGGAATCCCTTCGTCGTCTTAACCGAGAAGACGAACTTACGAACTTAAGGAGGCAGCCTTGAGGTCCACAGCGGAAGAGGGTACTACTCGGTACTCCTATAAGCTAGTTGGTGACACCGTTCACGGACGAGTGGACGCAACCCGTCTCCAACAAGAGGAAGAGCTCAAGGAGATCCTTCAGAAAGCACGATACAATCCGTGGTGGCACCTCTTTCAGCACGGATTGCTTCGTCGCGTGGATTCGACAGGGAACAAAATGCACGCTCCCTACGGGGATGCGCTGGTCAAGACGACCCCGTTCAACGCCCTGCCGACCGACATGCGGAAGCTTCTGGGTTCTGAGTACAATTGGGCGTCCTGGCTTTGCCATCCACTGGCGTCCATTTCTTCCTCAAGGCTTTCGAATTGGGGAAAATGCAGGGCAACCTGCTGGTGGAGCTGACCTGGAAGGAGAAGGCCTATACCAACGGCTATAGGTCTCCTTTCGACAAGGGTCAAGGTCTTAGGTAACGATGTTACCACGGCCTCAGTGAAGCTCAGCACAGAGAGTTCGCTCCTTTGACCAAGGATGTCGGGTTCCCAATGCCTCGAGACGAAGACCCTCGAGACAAGGAGCCTAAGAAGGACGATCCTGACTATGCCGCGAAGCTCTTTGTGTACAAGGCTTTCTGCTTTGACAGGGATGTATGCAATGAGGTCAAGAACGTCGGAGTTGATGAATGCGATGCTTCACTACTTCCTGGCAGCTGGCGTGGACGAGGAGGAACTCGGGGACCTCTCCCTTGATTGAGAGGATGCCGAATCCCATCGGTCCTGCCGAGGATGGGCCAGTTCCTATCTACACGAGCAGAACGAAGTACTCGGCCTTGATTCTCAATTTGGGAAGCGTTGCTCGCAATCGGAAGCGCGCAGCACCTTCTACCTACGCCGACATCATCGATTACGACGATTCTGGGGAAAGTGTTGGCGTTCTGATAAAGAGCATCGCACATGCAAAAGCACATCTGTTCTTGTTGTGCGAGGCCGGCCAGATCAACGACCAGGAGCTCGACTTCTTACACCGAGGAGATTGGGAGACGGTGCGCAACCCGAACGGGGAGCTTTTGGTCGGATGCAGAACCAACAAGGCAGGGTCACAGATGCGTCAAGTGGCAGGCTCCACACTTTTCGCATCTTCCGCTGACGTACATGATCGTGGACATTGACTTCGGCAAGACCCTTCTTCAAGGTTCGCAAGGCTTCCGTGACCAGATTCCCCCGTCAACCCTGACAGCGCCACTCACTCGAGCCGGATGGACTCTATGCGAGTCTGTGTGTTCCATCTGAACTCAAAGGTCGCGAGTGGGCAGGTCAGTTTGCCTCACGAATGTCTGGCCTCTATGTTCATCGACTGCCTGCATTGTCAGGTGGACCTCATTGGGGGAGACCCCAATATGGCTCTTTATCGGTGCTCAGGTACCAGACAAGAGTCGATGGACATCAAAGGAGGGAAGGCACAATACATTTCTGCCAACAGCCTATGCCTCCTGAAGCAGTATGAGGACACGCTTGGCCAGCCTTACAGAGATTGCCCAAAGGTCGACTGGAATACCTTTCCTGGTCTGGACCCGATGGTCGCCACCGTTTTGGAGTGGGGCCATTCGCTTACAGATGATTAGCGGGAGCAACTCAAAGGAGTTCGCGTCTCGGAGTGGCTCCTGAACTCCTCCTCTGTCAACTACCTCTTGAACGACAGGGATTACGACTCGCATAGTCCTCTCCTGGTGAGTGTCCATGCGACCCACAACAGTTCTGGACTTCTGGACGGGCGAGAGCGATGAATCGTAACCCGGACACACTTCAAGAGAAGGCAGAGCGGGGGAAGCAAAGGCAGAAGGAGAACAAAGCTCGCGGTTCTTCTGGAGCTGCACCGACCGAACCAAGCTCTCCCCCTGGAGAGGCAGGTTCAGGTGCTGGCTCTGGTGCTACAGCCTCTGGTTCACAACATCCTGCCGAACCCGCACATCCTCCTGGTGGGAAAGCTACTGGCAAAGGTGGCAAAGGAGGCAAGTCCTCCAAGGGCAAAGGAAAAAGCAAAGGCAAGGACCGGTATTGACTAGACTACCGGCTACTGCCGTTTTCGGGACGAGGAGATTATTCTACTCGATCCTCCCGATCCAGTACCTCCTTTTGATGTGGATCCTGATTTTCGTTACTTTCGTCAAAACCAAGGTGTCCACAGGTGGTATTATCATCCCGATGATCTCCCTGCGGATGGCTTATGAGCGACGGAGTGGACGATTTGATCCATATGCTTTTCTTGCTGATAGAGTGGATTGATTGTTTAAAAGAATGCTTCTTCCTTCAGAAGGTATCCTTCAGTCAGCCCTGTATGTTTTTCAGAAAGAAGATGCTCTTCCCTTGGAGAGGAACTTCTCATAGACCATTTGCCCAAACAGCAAATGAGATACTTTTTTCGAGAAGATACTCAAAAGAGTCTGGTGACTTATAGCTGGCATCAAGTGGAGCTAAGCTCTACACTTCATGTGCAGTATGCTTTCCATTCTGGAGAGGTAACTGAACATGTGGGCAATACCTTTCAGTTGAGTTTTGAACCGAAGATCCGTTTGTTGTGTGCGTGTTCTGTTTTCATAACCAGCTGTCTCCAGGCAAGAGATTGTACAGATGTATATTTCTCAAGTCACGTTTGCTGCAGTTCCTGACACTCCGCAGTTGCAATTCGCTCTTTGAGCTAAACAGACAGTGTGATCGCCGACTTCACGGCCATGCA